ATACGACTAATCCAGAGACTCGAACACATACAAAACCTACGTCTGCCCTTAGTTGCTCCATGTGAAGGGGCGTTATGGCGCAGCTCCACACCGCTGCTCGACCGGCATCGTCCTGGGCCCATATTTGGCAGTCCCTTACCTTGTATGGTTCACTTAGTAGCGCTATGTCAACATTGTGATCAATCACCGTCTGCTCCAATAGCTCCTGTGCAGCTTTGCAGTGGTTCAGGTTAAGCTGCAAGACCTTCATGATGTCCGGGATTTTTGTATCGCCTCTATATAGTACGGACAGTCTTTTCTGCCTGTCCTGTGCCTTACGCCTGGCTTTTTGTTTCTGGAGCAGATTACGCACCGTTTCTCCTTCTTACATACGTTGGCTCTATGGCCTATATTACCGCAATTGAAGCACGCCCCTTTCGAATCGTGAATGCATTTACAATTTCTTGCCAGATGGCCAAACTCTAGACATTTGAAGCATTGTGTCGGGTGCATTTTAAGTCTTATTTGACAGATTACCCTACCCGAACTTTGCCCACTGCGATCAATTTGCTCGCCATGGCGGCTGGCAGCAGCAGCGTTGCTGTCTTCGTACCGCTGTACGCGCTTCTCAATGACTTGACGGCTTCTACAGTAATTTTGCTGCCATCGACCTCCCTTTCTAAGGCAGAACAGAGCTCTTGCTTGCTTATTAGCTCATCTAAGTCCTTGACTTCTACCGCGGTTTTTGCGGTCAGGGTCTCTACCGTCGCTCTTTTTCCCAGCGTTTCCTTGACCGCTTGTTGAACCTCCACTGTGTGCGAATCCGTTGGTTTGGCCAATTGGAGGAGTAGCTCCCCATTGCCGGTTTTGCGTACTTTGGTTACCACGTCTTCCAAATGTTTTAATTGGGGATTGTTTTTTAAACCTCGCAGTATTTCTGCATACGAACTTCCGTCACGACTTTTTATTACTATTGCATCCGGCTTTGGCAACTTGGGTTTCGACTTCGACCTTTTCTTTCCTTCTACTGTCTTCCATTGGGGTTCTTTGCCATCGTTCGCCCCATTTGCTCGGTTTTTCTCTTCGCTTACGTTCGGTGGAGGCGACCTTGTAATAAAAATACTCACAAACCCACAGGGCTATTTTGCTACCACCCTAGCTTCAGTCAATATCTGCTGTTTGGTTTGGTACTTCGCTAAGTTTGCTTTAACTATTTGACTACCACTGGCCGAACCAAACTGTTCCCACTTTTAACGAGGAGATCAGCTGTATTTGACGCTTTATTTGTAAACACGGCATATTTCTGCTATGTCGCTCGTAAAATGTTTTCCAGTCTGCAAGTCCGCGAAAATTGTTAATATTTTATATTTTGTGATTACAAATCCCCATATAAATGATTCCACACGCGCGACCGTCACCACGACTACGGAAACGACGCACTGCAATCTTTCCGGGTAAGCCGCAAGAGTTTAATCACGTTTGGGTGGCTATCTCAGTTTATATTTTGCGTATTTCAGGAGCTCCACTTGGAAGCTGCCAATTCTACCGCGACGTGCTACAATTGCATCTGTACAGGGCACTTCGCGAAAGAGTGCAGGAAGCCAAAACGGGAATTTGGGTCGTGTTATGCGTGAGGACAACAAGGGCACCTGGCAATTGAGGTAAATACAAGAAGAAGGCCGGATAAAAAGTTTGTAAGTTATTTCAATATAAGTATTTTAACACAACCTAAAATAGATATGTTTATAGAATGCCTAATTGACTCGGGGAGCCCTATAAGTATAATCAAAGAGGTTTTTTTCCTGGACGAGTGCGTTTGGATAAAGTTATGAATTCTTATTTTGGATTAAACAAATCTACATTAAAATTAATTGGAAAAATGTATGTTTCGGTTAACGTTTTGAAAAACAATTTTATGATTGAACTTGTAGTGGTTCCTAATGAGTCCATATGTTACCCAGTCGTACTAGGTAGGGATTTTATAGACGTAAGTAACGCAAAGTTGAAAATTGGAAATATTCAATTAACACATAAAATATCACAAGTTGATGCTGGAAGCAATGTATTTAAAGTTGATAACATTAACGAGGTGTGATAGCAAATAAGAACGCACGTAATGTAAATATAGTTAACGATACATTTCAAAGTGAAGACAATGAAAGTAACGAAATGATAAGGTCATATCACAGATTTTGGCGCTAGATGTACACGATGCGAATACTTTCGAATTTAAGATAGGCGAAGAAACTAGTTTTTGTGACAGAAAGAAATTTGAAGAGATATTCCACAAAGAATATGTACAGCCACATAGACCCGCAAACCCTATGGAAAACAGGAAATAAAGCTGCCATTGGAAAACAATAAGCCATTATGTTTCTAGGGCCAACTTTCAATTTACTATAGGGTAGTTTAAGGAGCTTTTCGGCCGGTTCAATAAAAAGCAAACAATGTTTCTTTTTCCTCCTACGTGTTTCGATGTTTTTCACATCTTCCTCAGGGAGTCTGGTGTTTATTGAAAACAATACATTAAAAACAAACAATTAGGCACATATGTATGTAAATAAAAATTATAACAACCCAGCCAGCAAGAAAACGTACATTTTACGAACATTATGTTTTACGAGGGATTCTCGTATCGCCAAAAAGTTAGAGAAAAGCTCGTAAACGATAAAACAAAAAAATATAATAGAAAGAGGCTTGTAGTAATTTGTCAGCACAAGAAAAAATTTTAGTTTTGTTGACAATTTTTATTCAATCACAATATCTTATAAGTAAGTAGTTTGTTAAATATTCAATTTAAGAAAATTATTAAGTATGTGATTTATTGGCAGACTGGTGTAAACGCAAAGGACGATCTACCACTTTCTTTTATAATTAAACTTCTTGTAAGTAGCTACTACATATGTAATTCAAAAATACAAATTAATTTAACGAGTTTTGCAATTCTTTCACAGGCTGCGCGGAGCAACACTAAAGGATTTAGACGTTTAATTCCCCTATCTCGTAGGTTTATAGTTATATATATTTTTTAATTTGCTAGTTTATTACGTCTCTGCAGTTATTGAGCTTAATGTTTTATTGATAATATGGCTTCTCAATTAAAAAGGCGGGCGAAATCCGAAGCCTTATCCGTACTAGCGTCAATAAATGATTCATTAAAAACAAATTATTATAGATGAGGTAGCAGAACTTTTCTCGTAGAAGGGAACTGGTACCAAAAGCAGCGCTATTGGTTTGGCAATGACTGCGGCAATAAGAAGTACGGATAATAATATTATTTATTACCACTTTTTACTTAATTAAATTTTCCGATTTCCAATGGAGCTTAATCTTTCACTTTATTTTCTTAGGTGCTTTTCGTCAAAAATTTAACTCTGACGAAGAAGTTTTTATATTACCGTTTCAAAGAAGCACTTCCAATATGCACACGACCAGTGTTGCCGCAAAACATTTTTAGCGGTAGCTAAATTCAGGCTAAAAAAGGGCTAAAAAAGAGCTAAAAATCGTCGTTGTGGCTAAAAATGGTAGCTAAATTTTTTTACCTACATATAAATATATAAGTATACACGCAAACATTTTCTATAAGTAATGATATAGAAAAACAATGAACTCTGGAAAGAATTAATATTTTATTCAACAAATAAACTTGTTGTGTAACACATAAAGCATATTAAGGGCCGTCAACTTACCTATTTTAAAGTATAGTTAAATCGTTAATGGATAAGATAACGGCCCAGAAACGTAAAGAACATGCATATACATGTGTATGTACAGTTTAAAAATTAATTTCTTACATAAACAAAAAAATGAGATCGCATTAAGAATACATAAGTACTAGAATCATATCTATATACAGTGTCGGACAATACTAAATATCTTAAATAATTTCAAACTATGCTTCGAAAAATATCCATTTGTAAAAGAAATTTTTAAAATGTTATGTTATAATTTACAAAGAATTAAAATGTCGGTGCTTTATTATTGTCCGACGCTGTATGTATCAAACAAACAAAAGAGTATTCATTTAATGAACTCATAGTAAAATAATTTAATCTATAAACATTTTTTTTAACACATTAAATATTTATATCTATATCAATACTATAATCGCTAAGCGATTCTTCGTCGTTACAATTTTGTTCATTTCTCATTAACCTGACGATATCATCTGTAAAATCAAAATCATGACAACATTTCTGTAAATTTTTTAAGCCATATCTTACAGTTAACAAAGCGTTTAACATTGCAAAATTCATTTTATTTCTGTGCTTATTTTTAACGAAATTTATTATAGAAAACGTCCTTTCAACTTCTGCGTTACTTAAAGGTAAAAGAAGCAACCGATAAACAAACTTTTTCCACCACTTAAGCTAGCGACACAATGAACAGTTTATTTGCCTTAAAGGAAAGGCGTTCGCTTTATGAGCGAAGGGTTAAATTCATGAAAATCATATAAAAAATTTTAATGTCAATGATGAATAAATTTTGAAAAGGGCTAAGAAAAGGGCTAGGGGCAATTTCAAATTTTTGTGGCCAAAAAAAGAATTTGGTAGCCAAATTTAGCCACCAAAGGGCTAAAACGGCAACACTGCACACGACCGGCAAAAAAAGTTGGCAGCCTATCGGCAAAAAAGATAAAAAATAAATTCAGCTACTTTATAATATATATTAAACCCATCTTATTTAATTGTTAATTTGTTAATAGATAGTTTGTTAATATTTATTTATCTGAAAATATCTTCACATATACAGTTCCGGGAAAAAATATTGGCACAGAGAATTTTTCGCCATGAATGCAAAGTTTTTTATCCTGATTCCTTCTCTAATTGTTTTTTATAAAAATATAGTTAGTATGAAGTTCTACTTTCAAATCAGATTTTTTAGAATAATTCTAAGCATGCAGTTTTATAGCCCATTTAATTTTAGTATGATAAAGTGCACGCTTGAATAGCTAGAAAACTTCTTTGTTTTTTGGCAATTTTTTATACGCGGTTTTCTGGCAACTTCAATCTTGCACTATGTTATACTAAAATATAATGGGATATAAAACTGCATACTCAGAATTTTTCTCAAAAATCTGATTCGAAAGTAGGTATTCATACTAACTATATTTAAAAAAAAAAAATGTGCGAAAAGAAATTCAGGTAAAAAACTTTGCATACATTGCGTAAAATTCTCTGTGCCAATACTTTGATCCGGCACTATAAATATTTATTAATTATAATTCCATTCAATAAAAGAACTACAATAATTTTAATTAATTAATTGCCTTTATTTTTAGCATTCAAAAACAGTAGATAAAGCAGTGTAAAAAAACGCTTTTTTAACGTAAATTAATCGTTTACGAGACTCGTTTACAATTAAAAAACGGACGTAAAAATATTCGCATACGAATGCTTTTTCGATCCGTTTACGAGTGTTCGTAGGCGATGCACAATTTAAAGCGAAAAAGTGCTCGAAAAAGAGTCGTAAACGGCTATCATAAACGATTTTTAATCCGGTTTTTCTTCGAGAAAATATCCAATTACGAGCTTGTTTACGATGATTTTGCTGGCTGGGAAGTACAATACGTTGGTGTAACAATTTTTCCCGCAAAACATAACTTACATTGAACATCAAACAAAGAAAATATAACAAAAATACACACTTCAACTTATTATATTTAAGTGTACTTCTGCTCGTCTGTTCTCCTATTGACCATTATTGCTGTCCTGTATGCGCAATTTATATTGTCGACGTCTTCCTTAAAATTCATTGCATTCTGTATTTTTTGTTGTATTCGCAAACTTTCTAATGTAAGTCGAGTTCTCTGTTCTCCACATCTAATATTTTCGCGTTTTCAAAGTCTGCTGTATGCCCGCTATTCGTTACATGTTGTGCTAATGCAGTCGTTGTCTTCTTATTTCTTGCGTCGGTTTTATGTTCGCTTATTCTAATACCGAGAGCGCGCTTCGTTGTGCCTATGTATATTTTATTGCATGCTTCGCTAGCTTTACCATTGCATTTGATTTCGTAAACCACGTTATGTTGTTGTTCTTTGTTTATTTCGTCTTTTGTTTTGCTAAAAATTCTATTGATCGTTCTATGTGGTTTATGTGCAAATGATATGTTTTCGTTTTGGATGCTTTTTCGTATTGTTTTACTATCCGTTAATCCTTGTATATATGGGACGCCTGTGTATCTTTTGTTGTTTTTAGTTTCGGGTTGAGTGTTGAAATGCGCTTTTGGCTTGTTTTTCGCTGTTGCTATCAACCTCTCAACAGCTTTGTGTGGATACCCGTTTTTATGTAATATGTTTCTAATTTTCCTGCTGTTGTCTTTTCTGAATTCCTGGTCACTTAAGGCGTATATTTTCTTAATGAGGTTGATGGCTGTATTCTTCTTTTGCGTCCACGGATG